AGTTATGGGCGGGACACGATTTTGAAACAAGGTTATGCCGTGACCTTGACCTTCAAGGTAGCGACCAAAATATTGCCCGCGATACATTGTCTCATTATGGTGATCATATCTGTGAAATAGTTGTAAAATCCGACAAAAAAATGAAGTTATGTGCCAGACACAATTTTGCTGCATGGTTATGCTGTGACCTAGACCTTCAAGGTAACAACCCAAATGTTGCACGTGACACGTCATCTAAATATGGTGATCATTTCTGTGAAATAGTTTTAAAAGCTGACTTCAAATAACGAAGTTATGGGCCGGACACAATTTTGCTGCAAGGTCATGATGTGACATTGACCTTCAAGGAAGCGACCCAAATGTTGCGCGCGACACGTCATCTCAATATGATGATCATATCTGTGAAATATTTTTAAAATCCGACTTCAAATAACGAAGTTATGGGCCGGACACCATTTTGCTGCAAGGTCATGCTGTGACCTTGACCTTCAAGTAAGCGACCTAAATGTTGCGTGCAACACGTCATCTCAATATGATGATCATTTCTGTGAAATATTTTTAAAATCCGACTTCAAATAACAATGTTATGGGCCGGACACGATTTTGCTGCAAGGTCATGCTGTGACCTTGACCTTCAAGGAAGCGACCCAAATGTTGCACGCGACACGTCGTCTCAATATGGTGATCATTTCTGTGAAATATTTTTAAAATCCGACTTCAAATAACAAAGTTTTGAGCCGAACACGATTTTGCTGCAAGGTCATGCTGTGACCTTGACCTTCAAGGAAGCGACCCAAATGTTGCACGCGACACGTCGTCTCAATATGGTGATCATTTCTGTGAAATATTTTTAAAATCAGACTTCAAATAACAAAGTTATGGGCCGGACATGATTTTGCTGCAAGGTCATGCTGTGACCTTGACCTTCAAGGTAGCGAGCCAAATGTTGCGCGCGACACGTCGTCTCAATATGGTGATCATTTCTGTGAAATAGTTTTAAAATCCGACTTCAAATAACAAAGTAATGGGCCGGACACGAATTCGGGACGTATGTACGGACGAACTTACCAACTTTTGATGTTTATGAGGCAAATCAGCTCATAAACACCACCTGGACCAACGTCCATAAGCAAAATAAGCTCATAAAAACAAAAAAATAGCTCTTAATTTGAATTTTATGAGTTTTTGTTCTTTATTTAACTACGGAATGAAGCTCATAATAATCAAATGTTTGCTCGGACTGACTGACGGACGGACGGACTGACGGACAACCCGACGACTATATGCTCCCCCGAAATTTTTGGGGGAGCATAATAAGATTTTTTGATTTTTTACTATATGTATATATTGAAAATCAATGACCCCCGGGGCGGGGGCTATAATTTGAAAATCTTGGTATGGGTTGACCAGACAATGCCTTATGCAAAATATCTAAGCTCTAGGTTTTTTGGGTCTTTACAAGAAGGTATTTTAAGTTTTTACTATATGTACATATAGTGAAAATCAATGACCCCCCGGGGCGGGGCCGATTTTGACCCCAGGGCTACAATTGGAACAATCTTGGTACAGGTCTACCAGACAATGCCTTATGCAAAATATCTAAGCTCTAGGCTTTTTGGGTCTTTACAAGAAGATTTTTTAAATTTATTCTTATAATTCCTTTTGGTTGCCATGGCAACCAGATTTCCTTATGGAATGAAATTCTTTGAACAACTTTGGAAGCCCTTCACCCAAGAATCAATCCTGCCAAGTTTGGTTGAAATTGGACTAGTGGTTTTTCACATGTAGATTTTTTAAGTTCACTATATAATCTATAGAACACACACACACAAACACACACACAGGTGAATGGCTATATGCCACCGCATCGCAGATGCTGCGGTGGCATAGAAAATATAACACTCTTAAGCTTACTGTTAGATTACTGATTAAATAAACAAGAGCCTGGTTTGAGCCGGGTGATGCTCCCCGAATAGGTTTTGGACACAGGAAAGTACACCTCTTGTAGTTTCAGAGTTATGTCCCTGGAAAAAGTTCAAAGTGCAATAATTCCAAAATTAGGCAAGGCAGGGTTACTGTTCTTTGCACTGCACTTCTAATCAATGTGATCAATCAACCTACAAAGTTTCTTGTTGATATCTCTTATGGTTTCCAAGTTATGTCCCTGACAACTTCAAAAAGTAAAAATAAACAAAGGGCAATAACTCCAGAATTAGGCCCGTCAGAGTTATGATTCTTGTGCACCACTGCACATCTACCCATTGAGATATATCTACCTACAAAGTTTCATGTTGATATCTCTTATAGTTTTACAGCTATGTCCTGGACAAGATTTTTCTAAAAGGGGAGATAATTCAAAAACGAGGCTTAACAGAGTTATGGTTCTTTTGCACTGCACTTCTACTCAATGAGATCTATCTACCTACAATGTTTCATCTTGATATCTCTTATAGTTTTAAAGTTATGTTCCGGACAAAGTTCAAAGTGTTTAAAATAACAAAGGGCAATAACTCCAAAATTAGGACAAAAAGAGTTATTGTTCTTATGCACTGCACATCTACCCATCGAGATCTATTCACCTACAAAGTTTCATGTTGATATCTCTTATAGTTTTAGAGTTATGTCCCGGACAAGATTTTTCTATAAGGGGAAATAATTCAAAAACCAGGCAAAATAGAGTCATGGTTCTTTGACACTGCACTCCCCCTCAATGCCCTCTACCACTGTATGAAGTTTAAACAAATTATCTCCAATGGTTTTCAAGTTATGCTCCGGACAAGACAACGGACAGACAGACGTACCAACGGACAGACAGACAAGGCGTCGACTATATGCTCCGCCGAAATTTTTCGGGGAGCATAAAAACTAGAAATGTGTCCAGAGGACAAGGGTGCCCCCACACGCTACTGTTCTGTCAATCTTATGACTCTAGGTCAAATATTTTTTGGACTACATGTGTCACAAGTTGTAAACTAAAAATCTTTTACTAAGTAAAGGGCAAGAACTTTACAAATACTAAATAAATCCACAAGCAAACCCCAAGGTGCATAAGTACACATGCTGACCAACATTCTTGTAAACTTTCAGGCCTACAAGTCAAATACTTTTTGAGCTATGCATGAACAAGTTGAAAATTGGAAATTTATACTACTGTAAGTCAAGGGCAATAACTCATACAAAACTGAAAAAAAAATCCACATGCAAAGTCCCAGGTGCATAGCTTCACAGTGATGTTGATCATTATTCCTGTAATTTAGTGATGTTGATCATTATTCCTGTAAAGTTGGTTGATTCTAACTCAAGCCCGCAAGGAACAAATAACACAACATAATGACACGGTTTTTACTAAGTCAAGTGCAATAACTCTACAAATACTGGATAAATTCACAAGCGAAACCCTGCAAGGTGCACAACTACATATGATAAGCAACATTCCCATAAGGTTTCATGACTCTATGTCAAATCCTTTTTGAGTTACATGTGACACAAAATGAAAATTGCAAAATTTTATAAGTCAATGGCAATGACTCTAAAAATACTAAATAAATCCACACAAAAATACCCAGGTGCACAACCACACATGCTGATCAACATTCCTGTAAAGTTTCATGACTCTATGTCAAATCCTTTTTGAGTTACATGTGACACAAGTTGAAAATTGCAAAACTTTACTAAGTCAAAGGCAATTTCTCTAAAAATACTAAATAAATCCACACGAAAATACCCAGGTGCACAACAACACATGCTGATCAACATTCCTGTAAAGTTTCATGACTCTATGTCAAATCCTTTTTGAGTTACATGTGACACAAGTTGAAAATTGCAAACTTTTACTAAGTCAAGGGCAATAACTCTAAAAATACTAAATAAATCCACAAGAAAATAACCAAATGCACAGCTACACATGCTGATCAACATTCCTGTAAAGTTTCATGATTCTATGTCAAATCCTTTTTGAGTTACATGCAACACAAGTTGAAAATTGCAAAATTTTACTAAGTCAAGGGCAATAACTCTAAAAATACTAAATAAATCCACAAGAAAATACCCAGGTGCACAGCTACACATGCTGATCAACATTCCTGTAAAGTTTCATGACTCTAGGTCAAATTCTTTTTGAGTTACATGCAACACAAGTTGAAAATTGCAAAATTTTACTAAGTCAAGGGCAATAACTCTAAAAATACTAAATAAATCCACACGAAAATACCCAGGTGCACAACTACACATGCTGATCAACATTCCTGTAAAGTTTCATGACTCTATGTCAAATCCTTTTTGAGTTACATGTGACACAAAATGAAAATTGCAAAAGTTTACTAAGTCAAGGGCAATAACTCTAAAAATACTTAAGAATTCACACGAAAGTACCCAAATGCACAGCTACACATGCTGATCAACATTCCTGTAAAGTTTCATGATTCTATGTCAAATTCTTTTTGAGTTACATGCAACACAAGTTGAAAATTGCAAAATTTTACTAAGTCAAGGGCAATAACTCTAAAAATACTAAATAAATCCACAAGAAAATACCCAGGTGCACAACTACACATGCTGATCAACATTCCTGTTAAGTTTCATGACTCTAGGTCAAATTCTTTTTGAGTTACGTGTGACACAAAAGAGAACGGACGGAGGGACGATGGACAAGGGTAAATCCAAATGCTCCCCCCCCCCTAAAAGGGGGCACAAACATTCCACTATCAAAACTATAGTTATAGTACTATAGTTTAAAATATTTGTTTTTTATTTAATCTGTGGTTTTGGGCAGAATAGGGTGTCCAAACACTGATACAGTGCCACCTGTGAGAAATGTACATGTATATTATACTTATGTGCCATTAACTAATAATGTTTGCAATTAAAACTAATTTAACTTTTAATTATAGAAGTTAATTCTAAAGGTAGAATTAATTAACTGTTATTGTCACTATGTTGGCATCTTTCTTACACAAGGAGAACAGCAATGGTAATATGAAGTAATATTAAAGATATTATACCTGTGAAGTGGTAGGTGTTATAAGCAGAGCAGATCCCCACATGAACTGTACATCTGTCTCGTATGTTACATTGTTATTGCTCACTGGATACCTATTATGTCAATAATGTCAAGGATGTACACAATATCAAATATATGAACAGTTAAAACCATGATATTCAAAGTCATTCTTCAATTACTATTAGTTTTCATATTTCTAGGGGTGGGGATGTTAGATTTAGGTTACATCAACAATGAAAAGGTAATACGGAGATGGTACAGCATTACTGGCAGAGAAAGACCTCAGACCTTCTCTAAATTTATGCTTCATATAAAACATTTGAAAAAAAATGCCAAAGTTTTATTTTTCCACATTTTGGGAAGAACCATTTGCTTTGTAAGCTAATACTTACTGGAAAGACAAAGGATTCAGCTTATACCTTCTGTAAGGACAAAGGATTCAGCTTATATTTCCTGGAAGGATGAATGTTAAAGCTTATACTTCCTGGAAGGACAAAAGTCTGGGCTTAAACCTACTGGAAGGACAAAGATTTAAGCTTTTTTTCTTACTGGAAGGACATATGTCTGACATTATACTACTGGAAGGACAAAGGTCTAAGCTTATAGTTACTGGATGGACAAATTTCCCAGCTTACACTTACTTGGACAAAGATTCAAGCTTAAACTTACTTGAAGGACAAAGGTCTAAGCTTATACTTACTGGATGGACAAATTTCCCAGCTTACACTTACTTGGACAAAGATTTAAGCTTAAACTTACTTGAAGGACAAAGGTCTGAGTTTATAATTACTGGAAGGACAAAGGTCTGAGTTTATACTTACTGGAAGGACAAAGGTCTGAGTTTATACTTACTGGAAGGACAAAGGTCTGAGCTTATACTTACTGGAAGGACAAAGGTCTGAGCTTATACTTACTGGAAGGACAAAGGTCTGAGTTTATACTTACTGGAAGGACAAAGGTCTGAGTTTATACTTACTGGAAGGACAAAGGTCTGAGCTTATACTTACTGGAAGGACAAAGGTCTGAGTTTATACTTACTGGAAGGACAAAGGTCTGAGTTTATAATTACTGGAAGGACAAAGGTCTGAGCTTATACTTACTGGAAGGACAAAGGTCTGAGTTTATACTTACTGGAAGGACAAAGGTCTGAGCTTATACTTACTGGAAGGACAAAGGTCTGAGCTTATACTTACTGGAAGGACAAAGGTCTGAGCTTATACTTACTGGAAGGACAAAGGTCTGAGCTTATACTTACTGGAAGGACAAAGGTCTGAGCCTATTTGAAAGTTTTATGCTTATATTTAATGGAAGTACAAAGCCCTAAATGTTTCATTACTGGAAGCATAAACAAAGGTTAATTTTAACTTACTGGAAGGGCAGACGGGGCAACGCTCGACTTTTTTATTTTTTTCTTAAAGCAAACAAATAAACAGTTTAAACAAAGCTTAAAAAAAACAAGAGGGCATGATGGCCCTGAAATCGCTCACCTGTACATCAGCCCCTGGGGCGTGGCAAATTATAACCCAGGGGCTTTTATATGAACAAACTTGGTAGACACCTATTAGAAGATAACAACTTAAAATGGCACTTGCAAATTGACAATGTTTGTAAAAAACTTAACGGAAAAATTGCCTTATTGAAAAAAATATCGTATTTTTTGCACTTTGATATGAAATTATTGTTTTACAATGCATATATATTGCCCATTATGGACTATTGTTGTATTATATGGGGTAAAGGAAACACAAACAACATAAATAATGTTTGTAAGTTACAAAAACGAATTGCTAAAATCATTTTACAGCAACCTCAAAGATCTCCGTCAATAAATCTATTCGAAACTCTTAATTGGTTACCGTTCCTTGACAGATGTAAATACCACACGGCGGTGCTTGTTTTTAAAACTTTAAATAACATGGCACCGACTTATATGACAGAACTGATGATTTTATCCGACAACAAAATATATAACTTAAGATCTAGGTCACGAAAAGATATTGTATTATGGACAAGACCTAAAACAAATTATATTAAAGACACATTTTCTTATTATGGCATGAACATTTGGAACAATATACCTTTAAATATTCGTAATGTTAATAACCTTAAATGTTTTAAAGAAAAATACAAAGCATATCTTGATGTTCATATGAGTGAATGAATGAGTGAATGAATGAATGAATAAATATATGAACGAACGAACGAATGATGCAATATACGTATATGTTTAAACAAATTGTTGAGTGTCTGTCGAAAGTATATGAGTTGTATTATTCTAAAAATTACATATATTATACATTCATTTTACTACCTATGCATATCCTGTTGTTGTTGTTGTTGTTGTTTTCTATTTCAGAAGGCCACATTGGAAATAAGATATATATGATTGTTATTGTATGTTCTTAATGTGTAACCTTCTTTAAATAAAGATATTATTATTATTATTATTATTATTATTATTATGTTTCATGATAAATATCTAAGCTCCAGCTCTATGGAGTTTTTAAAAGATTTTTGAAGTTTTTACTATACACATATAGGGAAAAACAATGACACCCCCCTCCCCTTGGGTTGAGCCAATTTTAACCCCACCCCAGGGCCCTATCTCTAAGGATTTTTTTAAAAGAAGATTTTTCAGGTTTTTGCTATAATAATATAAATAAAGGGAAAAGACGCCTGGGACGGGACCAATTTTGACCCAAGGGCTTTTATTTGAACAAACTTGGTAGACACCCACTAGAAGATGTTTCATGCCTGATATGATAGCTCTAGCTATTTGGGTTTTTTAAAAGAAGTTTTCTTTAAGTTTTTACTATACACAAATAAGGAAAATCAATGACCCCCTAGGCCGGGCTAATTTTGACCCCAGGACTTTTATTTGAACAAACTTGGTAGACACTGACTAGATGATGTTTCATGCCAAATATCTCAGCTCTAGCTCTTTCGTTTTTTGAAGGAAGATATTTAAATTTTTTTCTTTCAGTTGTCATGGCAACCAGAGTTCTGCATGGAATTAAATTCTTTGAACAATTTTTATAGGTGACCACCATAGTAACATTCCTGTGAAGTTTGGATGAAATTGGCTTAGAGGTTTATGAGGAGATGTTGTTTAAAGTAAAAGTTTATAGCAAACGTACTTACGAAATGGTACTTATGTGACTTTTCCTTTGATCTTTTTAGCCATTTTTAGTCACACAAGGCTTAAAAAAAGACACAAAAGTAAAAACGGAATGAATAGGATCAAAGAGAATAACTGTTACCCATTTTTCTCCAAGTCACACAAGTACCTCCGGGTTTGAAGGACGAACGCCAGACAAAAAGCGATCACAAAAGCTCACCATCTCACTTTGTGACAGGTGAGCTAAAAAGTTAAGTTTTCCTTTTTTTAATCTTAATAAATCTGTCAAGTCACATTAGTTTTGTCCAAGTATGAATCCTTTCCATAAATTGACAATGTTAAGAAAATACAAGATATGTTTGTAAAACATGTATGCTCCCTATCGGCAGCCAATTAGTCATGTCATCAGGTTATTATGCATGACTTCTGACCCAGTGAACAAACAATTAATAAGGGTTATCTAGTATCTACTGGTCATGACTAGTCACAAGGTAATAATAATTGTGACCCCATAGGTTGTGTGCAGCAATTTAAGTTATTACAAAAATCTTACCAAATAAAATATGCATAAATTTTATGAATCATGTAGGCCTCATTAATGACAGCCAAGTTGTTATATTACATAAGACCTTCAAATGTGTATACCAAAAGCATTTTTAGTTTAATATAAAAATATCAACCAAGGCAACTTGAGTTGTTGAGTTATTGGTCAGAAACTGTCATTAAGTACAAGGTCAATATGACATTGACCCCTTGACCCCAAAATCAATAAGGGTCATCTACTGGGAATGACCAATCATCATACCAAGTTTGAAGTTCCTTGGCCTAACCGTTCTTTAGTTATTGATCAGAAACTGTTTTTACCTACAAAGGTCAATGTGACCTTGACCTTTGACCCTTTGACCCCAAAATCAATAGGGGTCATCTGCTGGTCATGACCAATCATCATACCAAGTTTGAAGTTTCTAGGCCTAACCGTTCTTAAGTTATTGATCGGAAACCGTTTTTACCTACAAGGTCAATGTGACCTTGACATTTGACCCCAAAATCAATAGGGGTCATCTACTGGTCATGACCAATCACCATACCAAGTTTTAAGTCCCTAGGCGTAAGCGTTCTTTAGTTATTGATCAGAAACCATTCTTACCTACAAGGTCAATGTGACCTTGACCTTTGACCCCTTTACCCCAAAATCAATAGGGTTCATCTGCTGGTCATGAACAATCATCATACCAAGTTTGAAGTTCCTAGGCCTAAGCGTTCTTAAGTTATTGATCGGAAACCTTTTTTACCTACAAGGTCAATGTGACCTTGACCTTTGACCCCAAAATCAATAAGGGTCATCTACTGGTCATGACCAATCACCATACCAAGTTTGATGTTCCTAGGCCTAAGCGTTCTTTGGTTATTGATTGGAAACCGGTTTTACCTAAAAGGTCAAAGTGACCTTGACCTTTGACCCCTTGACCCCAAAATCAATAGGGGTCATCTACTGGTCATGACCAATCACCATACCAAGTTTGAAGTTCCTAGGCCTAAGCGTTCTTTAGTTATTGATCCGAAACAGTTTTTACCTAAAAGGTCAATGTGACCTTGACCTTTGACCCATTGATCCAAAAATCAATAGGGGTCATCTACTGGTCAAGACCAATCACCAAACTAAGTTTGAAGTTCCTAGGCCTAAGGGTTCTTTAGTTATTGATCGGAAACCATTTTACCTACAAGGTCAATGTGACCTTGACCTTTGACCCCTTGACCCCAAAATCAATAGGGGTCATCTACTGGTCATGACCAATCACCATACCATACCAAGTTTGAAGTTCCTAGGCCTAAGGGTTCTTTAGTTATCACTCGGAAACCATTTGGTCTACGGACCAACGGACCGACAATTGCAAAGCAATATACCCCCTCTTCTTTGAAGTGGGGGCATAATAATCAAAATTCAATAATCTGACTGTCAAGGTCACTTAAAGGTCAAGGTGATATCTTAATTATTCAACATGTTCTTTTGACCACAGATTAATCAAATCCGTAAATAAAAAGCAAAAAAATGACAACTTAACCAAAATTCAATAGTACAATGTTTTTTTGTCTAAGTATGAAGATAATACATTAATAATTACAAAGTTACAGTCCATTATAGCAATAATCAGTGAAAATAAAATACTTTGACCTTCAAGGTCAAGGTCATATATGTGAGGTTTCATTGAAATCCCACCAGTAGCTTGACTTGTGAAAGCCAGACAAGATTTTTCTATTTTTTAGCTCTTGCCATTTTGTGCAGCATAGCAGAACCTGCTTGTGATGTGAACAACTAGCCATGGTACTGATCACTCCTGAAAAGTTTGGTTAAAATCCCACCAGTAGTTTCACCTGTGAAGGCCGGACAAGAATTTTCTATTTTGAACTCTGACGGCCATTTTGTGCAGCGAAGCAGAACATGCAGGTGATATGCACAACTAGGGATGGTACTGATCACTCCTGTAAAGTTTGGTTAAAATCCCACAAGTAGTTTGACTTGTGAAGGCCGTAAAAGATTTTTCTATTTTTAGCTCTGGTGGCCATTTTGTGCAGCATAGCAGAAAGTGCCAGTGATGTGCACAACTAGGGATGGTACAGATCACTCCTGTTAAGTTTGGTTGAAATCCCACCATTAGTTTGACTTGTGAAGGCCGGACAAGATTTTTCTATTTTTAACTCTGGTGGCCATTTTGTGCAGCATAGCAGGAAGTGCCAGTGATGTGCACAACTAGGGATGGTACTGATCACTCCTGTTAAGTTTGGTTGAAATCCCACCAGTAGCTTGACCTGTGAATGGCGGACAAGCTTAATGTGGATGGACAAACAACCGGACGGAAGGACAGCGAAGGCAAAACAATGTGTCTTCCAAAAATTTTGGGAGACATAATAACAAATAAATTTGAAAATTTTAATATTTTGACCTTAAAGTTAAGATCATTTATGAAAGATGATCTGTCTGTTTAATTTGAAGGGCTATCCTAAAAGATTTTTATGTTCAAGTTTAAAGACAATCCATTCAAAAATAACAAAGTTATAGACACTTATAGCAAAAAACAGCAAAATTTGGACATTTGACCTTGAAGGTCAACATCATTTATGGATGAATGTCAAGATTAGTCTGGTCTACTGAAAGGTCTTGTCCCAAGGGTTAATGTGGCCAGGTATGAAGGCAATACACCTAGAACTTAACAAGTTATGATCAAGGTACAAGTTTGCGATTAACAACAGAAATGGCAATGGAAACATGACTGTAACAATACCTCTATTTTTTTTTTTCAAAAAAAGAAAAAAAAAAGTCAAGCTAAAAAAGCGTTAAGACTTGTACTTACTGGAAGAATAAAGGTCTAATAACAGGACTTCCATCAACATGGCTTCTATAGAACAATGTATACAGGTATGGCAGTAAAGTATATCTCAGGTTAAGGGCATCTTTCATTATCTTCTGTGTACCTTGGTCAAATGAGGCTGGATCTTGATCCTATATAAATAAAACAAAACCTGGTTTCAAACTTAATTGTACCAGCAATCTTCAATAGTCTTGCTAATTGCAACAAAAATTTTAACTGAATAAAATATAGTTAAAAATTAAAATAAGCCAGAATATGGCAATTAATTTAGTTCACACAATATAAAATGTGCCAAAATATGAAGCATACATTGTTCAAAGAGAGGTTCTAAATGAAAATGCATGTATTTGTATGACGGGACAAAAGGTGGTTTTCTACTTTTGCGTTTAGAATAAAACAGTTACAACAAGGGGGCCATTCGCTCACCTGTATATAGGCCCCTGGGCCAAGGCCAATTTTAAACCAAGGGCTTTTATTTGATCAAACTTGGTAGACACCCATTAGAAGATGTTTCATGATAAATATCTAAGCCTTAGCTCTGTGGGGGGTTTTATAAGAAGATTTTTTAAAGTTTTTACTATAAACATATACATGTAGGGAAAAACTATGACTCCCCCCCCCCCAGGAGGGGCCAATTTTGACCCCAGGGCTTTTATTTGAACAAACTTGGTAGACACTCACTAGAAGATATTTCATGCTTAGTATCTAAACTCTAGCTCTTTGGGGTTTTCAAAAGAAGATTTTTTTTAGGTTTTTACTATATACATAAAGGGAACAAGCAATTATCATAGTATTGCAAGCAATCCATAAGTCCCATACCAGTTAGAACCCCAGCAACACTCTGATGGGCCATTGGCCATTTAATTTTACCAGTGAATGAATGACATGATGAACTTAAATCTTTTGAGTTCTAAGTTTGTCTATATCACAGTAATGTGTTAAGTTTCCCTGCCTAGTAAGGAAATTATGTTTATACAACCTTGTCATATTATTACATTGTGGGATTTTAAAGTAAATCCTATAAGGAATGAAGAAGTTGGAGTAAAGTCTTGCTAGAGTATTTAACCTTCACAAAAATGTTGAGTGATAATAAGAAACATATATATGAAGTTTGAAGTAGATAAAATAGGAAATAAAGAAGTTATTTAAAAAAGACAACATTTTTTTTCATAAAAATTCTAAGTTCAAGGGCGGTAATACTGATAATTTTTGTGCTAGATTTGTAAACCTTGTCACATATGATGTGGTTGATGACCAGAAACTTATATTTAAAGTTTGAAGTAAACACCTTAAGAAATAAACAACTTATAGTGAAAAAGCTAAAACATTTAAATCAGAAATCTTGAAATTCAGGCTATTTCTTGCCATAGCAACCAGAATTTTCAACATAGGAAGAAAAGAAAAATATGTGCATAATTTCCAGACTGCCATCTACCCATAAAAATATTTTCAGTACTTTTGAGTAATCACTGGATCCAGTTTATGTGTTAAATTTGCAATATTTTCAGACTATTTGTTGCCATAGCAACCAGAATTTTCAACATAGGAAGAGAAGAAAAAGATGCGCATAATCTCCAGACTGCCATCTACCCATATTTCAAGTTTTATAAACATATTTTTAGTACTTTTTGAGTTATCACTGGATCCAGTTTATGTGTTAAATTTGCCATATTTTTAGCCTATTTGTTGCCATAGCAACCAGAATTTTCAATATAGGAACAAAAGAAAAAGACGTGCATAATCTCCATACTACCATCTATCCATATATCAAGTTTCATAAAAATATTTTTAGTACTTTTGCGTTATCGCAGGATCCAGTTTTTGTGGACGAACGGACGGACAGATGGACGGACGGACAGACAGAAGGACATATGGTAAACCTTAAGTCCCCTCCAGTTAAACCGGTAGGGGACTAAAAACAATGACCCCTGTGGGAAGGCCAATTTTTACCCCAGGGCTTTTATTTGAACAAACTTGGTAGACACCAACTAGAAGATGTTTCATGCTTTATATCTAAGCTCTAGCTATTTTGGTTTTTAAAAAAAAGACTTCTTAAGTTTTTACAATATACAAATAAGGAAAATCAATGACCCCCTGGGGTGGGGCCAATTTTTACCCTAAGGCTTTTATTTGAACAAACTTGGTACACACCCACTAGAAGATGTTTAACCCGTAATATCTAAGCTCTAGCTATTTGGGTTTTTTAAAAGAAGATTTTTTAAGGATTTACTATATACAAATAAGGGAAATCAATGACCCCTCAGGGCAGGACCAATTTTGACCCCAGGGCATTTATTTGAACAAACTTGGTAGACACTGACTAGATGATGTTTCATGCCAAAGATTTTAGCTCTAGCTCTTTTGGTTTTCTAAAAGAAAATATTTTAAGTTTTTTCTTTGGTTGCCATGGCAACCAGAATTCTGCTTGGAATTAAATTCTTTGTACATTTTTTAAAGTTGACTACCAAGGGAACATTCCTGTGATGTCTAGATGAAATTGGCTTAGTGGTTTATGAGGAGATGTCGTTAAAAGTAAAAGTTTATGGACAGACGGACGGATGACGGACGAAAAGCGATCACAAAAGCTCACCATGCCACTCTGTGACAGGTGTCACTCTGTGACTGAAACATTACTCCCTAGATTGTTATTCCATATTTGAAATCCTATGGCCCCAACCCCCCTCGCCCAGGGTGGGGATAATTTTGACCTTAGAGGCAACTTTTTACCAACTTTGTTAGTGGAGACTTTAATTTGATGAGAACACACAAAATATCTAAGCTCTAGGCCTTGCACTGTCAGAGGAGAAGACTTTTTAACTTTTTACTATATACATATAAGGAAAATAATTGAACCCCCAGGGGCAAGGCCAATTTTGACCCAAGGGCTATAATTTGAACAATTTTTGTAGAGTTTCATGAGATGATGCTACAAACAAAATATCTAAGCTCTAGGCATAGGAGAAGATTCTTAAAGATTTTATTTTAAAAATCTATTTTTAGCACTTCTGACCTAGATGTTTTTTTGAGCAGACCCATTGGAACAATTTAGGTAGACCTTAATGCTAGGGACATCCCAGAAAAATTTAATCAAATGGTGGTTTCTGAGAAGAAGTTGTTTGTATAAAGTCAACAACAGAGGCACAAATGGATGTGGACGGACTAATTGTGTGACAAAAGCTCACCTTGAGCTCACCTGACATTTGATAAATAAATCAAAATAATTCAGAACTGTTAAAAAGAAAATCAGAAACACAAGAAAGCTTTACCATATTATAAATGGTATTATGGTTACGCATGAATGGGTAGAATGCTCCAAGCTGCATCCATCGAGTACACAGTTCTGTGGTAGTGTTACCATTAAACCCACAAATGTCTGCCCCAACCAGAGGAATTCCAAACAAATTGAAGTTCAAAATACCTGAAATTTTACAGTCATTGATTAATCCTAGACTTGCTGCAACTTAAAGTAATTGGCCCTTGCCACCAGTAAAGCTTCAGGCCAGCCCTTGCCACCAGTATAGCTCCAGGCCAGCCCTTGCTACTAGTATAGCTCCAGGCAAGCCCCTTGCCACCAGTAAAGCTTCAGGCCAGCCCTTGTCACTAGTATAGCTCAAGGCCAGCCCTTGCCACCAGTATAGCTCCAGGCCAGCCCTTGCTACTAGTATAGCTCCAGGCCAGCCCCTTGCCACCAGTATAGCTCCAGGCCAGCCCTTGCCATCAGTTAAGCTCCAGGCCAGCCCCTTGCCACCAGTTTAGCTCCAGGACAGCCCTTGCCACTAGTAGAGCTCTAGGCCAGCCCTGGTCACTAGTATTGCTCCAGCCCAGCCCTTGCCACCAGAATAGCTCAAGGCCAACCCTTGTTACCAGTATAGCTCCAGGCCAGCCCTTGCCACCAGTATAGCTCCAGGCCAGCCCTTGCCACTAGTATAGCTCCAGGCCAGCCCCTTGCTACCAGTATAGTTCAAGGCCAACCCCTTGCTATTAGTATAGCTCCAGGCCAGCCCTTGCCAATAGTATAGCTGTAGGCCAGCCCCTTGCTACCAGTATAGCTCCAGGCCAGCCCTTGCCACTAGTATAGCTCCAGGCCAGCCCTTGCCACTAGTATAGCTTCAGGCCAGCCCTTGCTACTAGTATAGCTCCAGGCCAGCCCTTGCTACCAGTATAGCTCCAGGCCAGCCCTTGCCACTAGTATAGCTTCAGGCCAGCCCTTGCTACCAGTATAGCTCCAGGCCAGTCCCTTGCTACCAGTATAGCTCCAGGCCAGCCCTTGCCACTAGTATAGCTCCAGGCCAGCCCTTGCCCCAGTATAGCTCCAGGCCAGCCCCTTGCTACCCGTATAGCACAAGGCTCGCCCTTGCCACCAGTAAAGCTCAATGCCAACCTGTTCCACCAGTATAGCTCCAGGCCAGCCCCTTGCTACCAGTATAGCTCCAGGACATCCCTTGCCACTAGTAAAGCTCTAGGCTCGCCCTTGCCACTAGTATAGCTCAAGGCTCGCCCTTGCCACCAGTATAGCTCAATGCCAGCCTGGTTCCACCAGTATAGCTCCAGGCCAGCCCCTTGCTACCAGTATAGCTCCAGGACATCCCTTGTCACTAGTAAGCTTTAGGCTCGCCCTTGCCACTAGTATAGCTCCAGGCCAGTCCTTGCCAACAGTATAGCTCAAGGCCAACCCTTGCTACCAGTATAGCTCAAGGCCAGCCCGTGCCACCAGTATAGCTCCAGGCCAGCCCTTGCCACTAGTATAGATTCAGGCAAGCCCCTAGCTACCAGTATAGCTCCAGGCCAGCTACTTGCCACAAGTATAGCTCCAGGCCAGCCCTTGCTACTAGTATAGCTCCAGGCCAGCTACTTGCCACCAGTATAGCTCCAGGCCAGCCCTTGTACTAGTATAGCTCCAGGACAGCCCCTTGCTACCAGTATAGCTCCAGGCCAGCCCTTGCCACTAGTATAGCTAAAGGCTCGCCCTTGCCACCAGTATAGCTCAATGCCAGCCTGTTCCACCAGTATAGCTCCAGGCCAGCCCCTTGCTACCAGTATAGCTCCAGGACATCCCTTGCCACTAGTATATCTCAAGGCTAGCTATTGCCACCAGTATAGCTCAATGCCAGCCTGTTCCACATGTATAGCTCCAGGCCAGCCTCTTGCCCCCAGTATAGCTCCAGGCCAGCTGCTTGCATCCAAGCTAAACAACAGCTGTCAGCAGGACAGCATGCTCGACTTCTCTTAGTGCTTGATAGTAAAAGAGCCCTGATAATTTAAAAATTACTAAATTCACAAAATGGCCTTTTTTCAAATCCACGTTATATTTATAGGCCTTGGAGAGAGTCTTTTAATTATGCTCTCAAAGAAGTGTATAAAATTTCAACTTGTTTCAAAGAAATATGAAAATATCTGAGGCGGTACGCAAACTTTAATGTAAATTCCAAGTCAAACATGATTGCATTTGTGAAAAATGCTATGCCGCCGCATTAATACAACACTAAATAGTAGTGTAGAAACAGATTTTTTTTGTTTCTTTACAATTGAAGATTGTCATAATGCATAGATCCCTGACCTATCTAATTCTTATTATCAGATTTGTGGTTAAATCTATTGTTATTCAAATAAAAGATCAGAGTAGGAATATATCACTGCACTTGAGTCTAGTGAATTTGGTGGTGAAGGTCATATTTCACATAGCCTAAATTTCATGACTACATCAAAGGACAAAATCTAGGTTAGCTGATATCAAAGTTCACTTTACATCACATGGTTCAAATTTCATAGCTGTACATCAAAGGACAAGAAAGTAGGTCACATCATTAAAATCTAGGTCACCTGATATCAAAGTTCAATTTTACAACTAAAACTTTGCAAATGGTCAAAATTTCATTGCTGTACCTCAAAGGACAAGAAAGTAGGTCAATGTCCCCATGAGCAAGGCAAAATTTTGACCCAAGGGTTTAATTCAAAACAATCTTGATACAGGTCCACCAAACAACATTTCATGTCAAATATCTAAGCTGTAGCTTTCTCCTTTTCAGAAAACATTGGTTTTAGTTTCAGTTTTTACTATGTGTATATAATGAGAATCAATGCCCCTGGGCAGGGCCAATTTTGACACCGTGGAAAAATTTGAACAACTTTGGTAGAGGACCTATAGATGATATTATATACCAAATATCAAAGCTCTAAGCCTTGTACCTTCAGACAATAAGATTTTTTAACTTTTTACTATATGAACGTAGTGAAAATCAATGACCCCAAGGGGTGGGGCCAATTTTGACCCCAGGGCTATAATTTGTACAATCTTGCTAGAGGTTCACTACACAATGTTTCATGGAAAATAACTTTAGTAGAGGACCCATAGATGATATTATATACCAAATATCAAAGCTCTAAGCCTTGTTCTTCAGACAATAAGATTTTTTTGATTTTTTACCATATGAACATAGTGAAAATCAATGACCCGGGGAGGGGCCAATTTTGACACCAGGGCTATAATTTGTACAATCTTGTTAGAGGTTCACTACACAATGTTTCATGCAAAATATCTAACCTCTAGCCTTTGTCAATTTAGAGAAGATGATTTTTTAAGTTTTTACTATATACAAATAAGGAAAACCTATGACCCCCGGGGCGGGGCAAATTTTGACACTAGAGGTAAAATTTGAACAGCTTTGGTAGAGTACCTATAGATGATATCATACAACAAATATTAAAGCTCTAAGCCTTGTATCTTAAGACAATAAGATTTTTTACTATATGTACATATTGAAAATCAATGTCCCCCGGGCAGGGCCAATTTTGACCCAAGGGCTTTAATTTGAACAATCTTGGTAGAGGAATACACAATGTTTCATGTAAAATATCTAACCTCTTGTATTTGTCAATTGCTAGAAGAAATTTTTTTTTAAGTTTTACTATATACACATAAGGAAAACCTATGACCCCCGGGGCGGGGCTGATTGTGACACTAGAGACAAATTTTGAACAACTTTGGTAGAGTACCTATAGATAATAACACATACCAAATATCAAACCTCTAAGCCTTGTACCTTCAGGCAAGAAGGTATTTTAAGTTTTTACTATCTGTACATATAGTGAAAATCAATGACCCCCAGGGTGGGGCCGATTTTGACCCCATGGCTATAATTTGAACAATCTTGGTAGAGGTCTACCAGACAATGCCTTATGCAAAATATCTAAGCTCTAGGCTTTTTGGGTCTTTACAAGAATTTTTTTTTAATTTATTCTTTTAATACCTTTTGGTTGCCATGGCAACCAGATTTCTGCATGGAATGAAATTCTTTGATCAACTTTGGTAGCCCTTCACCCAAGGATCAATCCTGCCAAGTTTGGTTGAAATTGGACTAGTGGTTTTTCACAAGAAGATTTTTTAAGTTCACTATATAATCTATAGAACACACGTACAAACACGCACACAAACAGTTTTTTGTCACACACACAGGTGAATCGCTATATGCCACCGCATCGCAGATGCTGCGGTGGCATAAAAAGGAGCATAATTCTGTCAAAATGCTTGATAGAGTTATCACCTTCTGAATACAGATTGGGGTCATGATGGTGAACAAGTGTGCAAAATTTCAAAGCCATATGTCAATGGACTTTGAAAATATTTAAGGTGGTATGCAAACTTTAACGTAAATTCTAAGTAAAACAAGAAGTTAAACAACGTGTTTGTTAAACACAAATGCCCCCGGCTCCGATTCTTGTCAGTAGCAATATTTCAAAAAATGTTTACCCATTCACTCAGTTATGGACAGAAACATTGCCAAACTAGAAATGTGTCCATAGGACACGGGTGCCCCCACCGCGCCACTGTTCTGTCAATCTTTTTACTAAGTCAAGGGAAATAACTCTACAAATACTGGATAAATCCACAAGCGAAACCCCAGGTGCAACTCTAAATATGCTGAGCAACCTGCCCATAAGGTTTAATGACTATGTCAAATCCTTTTTGAGTAACTTGCGACACAAGTTGAAAATTTCAAAAATTTTCTAAGTGAAGGGCAATAACTCTAAAAATACTAAATAAATCCAGACAAAAATACCTGGTGCACAACTGCACATGCTGATCAATAATCCTGTAAAGTTACATGACTCTAGGTCAAATACTTTTTGAGTTACGTGCGACACATGTTGAAAATTGCAAGATTTTACTAAGTCAAGGGCAATAACTCCAAAAATACTAAAAATATCCACACGAAAATACCCAGGTGCACAACTACATATGCTGATCAACATTCCTGTAAAGTTTCATGACTCTAGGTCAAATACTTTTTGAGTTACGTGCAACACAAGTTGAAAATTGCAAAATTTTACTAAGTCAAGGGCAATAACTCCAAAAATACTAAATATATCCACACGAAAATACCCAGGTGCACAACTACACATGCTTATCAACATTCCTGTAAAGTTTCATGACTCTAGGTCAAATACTTTTTGAGTTACGTGCGACACAAGTTGAAAATTGCAAAATTTTACTAAGTCAAGGGCAATAACTCTGAAAATACTAAAAATATCCAAACGAAAATACCCAGGTGCACAACTACACATGCTTATCAACATTCCTGTAAAGTTTCATGACTCTAGGTCAAATACTTTTTGAGTTACATGCGACACAAGTTGAAAATTGCAAAATTTTACTAAGTCAAGGGCAATAACTCTGAAAATACTAAAAATATCCAAACGAAAATACCCAGGTGCACAACAACACATGCTGATCAACATTCCTGTAAAGTTTCATGACTCTAGGTCAAAAACTTTTTGAGTTACATGCGACACAAGTTGAAAATTGCAAAATTTTACTAAGTCAAGGGCAATAACTCTGAAAATACTAAAAATATCCAGAAGAAAATACCCAGGTGCACAACTACACATGCTGATCAACATTCCTGTAAAGTTTCATGACACTAGGTCAAATACTTTTTGAGTTACGTGCGACACAAGTTGAAAATTGCAAAATTTTACTAAGTCAAGGGCAATAACTCTAAGAATACTAAAAATATCCACACGAAAATACCCAGGTGCACAACTGCACATGCTGATCAACATTCCTGTAAAGTTTCATGACTCTAGGTCAAATACTTTTTGAGTTACATGCGACACAAGTTGAAAATTGCAAAATTTTACTAAGTCAAGGGCAATAACTCTGAAAATACTAAAAATATCCAAATGAAAATACCCAGGTGCACAACTACACATGCTGATCAACATTCCTGTAAAGTTTCATGACTCTAGGTCAAATACTTTTTGAGTTACGTGCGACACAAAAGTGAACGGACGGACGGACGGAAGGACGAACTGAAGGACGGACGGACGGACGGACGGACAGACGGACGGAAGGACGGACGGACAAGGGTAAATCTAAATGCCCGCCACTAACGTGGGGGCACAAAAATTGTAAACACAAGTTATATAGCATGACAGAGTCATGGCATTTTGTAATTGTGAAATATATAAGTTACCAAGTCATTGCTATGACTAGTGAGGTGATAAATATTCTATATTTCAATAAATAAAGGCTGTATGAGCAAAAGTGTAAAAATCTATTTTTAGCACTGGTGACCTTGACCCAACTGACCACTAACTCCATCAAATTTTATGTTCCTATCAATTATAAATGACATCTGTCTATAGAATATGGTTAATACACCTGTAAAAATCTATTTTTAACATTGGTGACCTTGACATTGGTGACATTGACCTTGACCCAAATGACCCCTTACTATACCCAAAGAAGGAGGACCTCCCTTGGCATGTTTGTATTAAACATGAAAGACATCAACCAAAAAATAAAGGCTGTATGAGCAAAAATGTTTAAATTTATTTTCTAAACCAGTGACCTTGACCTTGACCCTAGAGACCACTTACTCCCCAAGGACCATTAAAGGTATCCACCTACCAAATATGCAAGATATCATTAAATAAATTAAGCAATTAAGAGAAATTTACGATAAATCCAACTTGCCGGAATAGGTTAACCAGACAAGGCCCTATTTTCAAAGTGAAAAAGGGAAATAACTGGGAAATATGGATGACACAGTTATATAACTTGGCAATATCATGTACTTTGTATTGATAAGTAAGTGTGGAAATTATGAAGCTATTAGTATAGGTAGAACTTAAGAAATTTCCAACTTGCTGTTTTAGGTTAACCATTATTCATTTTCTAAGTGCTGAAAAGGGCAATAACTTGGTAAATATGGGAGCCATAGTTATGTAACTTGACCAGATCATGTACTTTGTATTGATTAGTAAGTGTGTAAACTAAGAAGCCATTGGTACAGGTAGAACTTAAGAAAAATCCAACTTGCCGTTCTAGGTTAACCTCGTACGGACAGACAGACGGACAAACGGTTCAATTACTATATGCCCGGGGGCATAAAAAAAGGGCATCATTCTGTCAAAATGCTTGATAGAGTTTTCCCCTCCTGTCTACAAGTTATGGGCATGATGGTGAACAAGTGTGCAAAGTTTCAAAACTTATGTCAATGGACTTTGAAAATATTTGAGGTGTTACAAAAACTTTAACATAAGTGGTAACGCCGACGCCATCACAGACCCTGATGCTCAGGTGACTAGGATAGCTTTACTTATTCTAACGAATAGTCAAGCTAAAAATGTTCATGCCAAACTGACATACCATTATGACATTTGACGTATCCCAAACAGAAATTCCTGTGTTATTACATGGGGTTAAATTATAACAGCTGGGGGATGGATATAAAGTCTGTTACTGTCCATATATGTATATAAAAACATTCTTGTTAAAGTTAATGATCTTGCTTTCAGTCATAACTGTTACAAGTGAAAGAACAACAAATCTTTACAAATAAAATGTTATACCCTTCTTGGCACTGCAGATTTTACCACAATGTCATGAAGTTTATTGACATCATTATTGAGTCTAAAAGATTGTTTCTTAAAGGCATGAATCATGATAATTATAAATCATGTTTGAAATGAATACAATGTCAGTCAGAATCAGAAAGCAGTTAATTTAGCCAAGCTACAATTTTTCAAAAATTTCTACAAGGAGCAAGACTCAAACATTACCTGGTATAGAGTAATATGTATCAATCCACTGAGCATTGTTATCACCTAGCCAGTGACCAGAGTGAACCCCAGTGCTAGGGTAGGTTGACCTGGATATCACAATACTCCTCTTGTTTCCCTTTATACTGTCCAAGGCACTAAGATGTAGTAATATAATACATTGTGTAATTTAACAAATCTATATGTAGATAAGCAGCTTTTATTTGACTGTATTCTATTATACTGCCCAAGATGAATTTCTCTAATTATTTTTCTTTTATATGCAAGATGAGTTAAAAAAGTCTGTGGACAAGTCAAATTTACTGAAAAAATGACATTCTCTAAGTTTTAAATTCCGTATAACAGAAGATCAAACAGGAGAAATAAGTGCATTAAGCTGTTACAAAATTACACCTTGCTATCTTTTTTTTCATGTCTTCCTATCATCTGTAGGTCAGTCTTTAGTATGTTGTGCTTACATTCAATACTAATTCTCAACATGATAACCAGTAAAATAAGATGTTGCTCTGTCATTACCATATATTCAACCCTTCTTACAATCCAGACAAGAATTTGTAACAGAGTTACCAACGTCCCCCGCCCCGGGAGTTTTATATGAAGCATAAAATTGTGCTATTTCAAAAGATTGAGGTATGGATCTCAGGACATTCAGTCCAAAATTATGATCAATGCTAGATCTGCAAATGTAACAATAAATTTGTTAAAAAAATAAAATGAAACACGGAATTTAAAAATCTATCATGTTAAGCTTTGACCTCTAAGTGTGAACTTGACCTTGGAGGTAGGGGAGCAGGTGTTGTGCATGACATAACGTCTTATTATTGTGACTATTTGTGCCAAGTTATTTCAAAATCCCTTGAACTATGAAGAAGTTCTAGATTCAACACAAAATATACCCTATAACAGACTATGTTAATTTTTGACCTCTAAGTGTGACCTTGACCTTGGAGGTAGGGATGCAGGTGTTGCGCATGACACATCCTCTTATTATTGTGACTATTTGTGCGAATTATTTTCACAATCCTTTGATCTATGAAAAAATTATAGACCTGACACAAAATATACCCTGTAACAGACTATGTAAGTATTTGACCTCCAAGTGTGACCTTGACCTTGGAGGTAGGTGACCGGTTTTTGCGCATGACACATCATCTGATTATTGTTAACAATTATAGCAAGTATTTACAAAAGTCCTTCATAGATAAGAAAGTTATGGACTGGACACGACATATACCCTCAAATAGACAATGTTGACCTTGAATGAACAAGTACGACCTTGACCCTGAAGGTACGGGTCTGGTTGTTGCTCATGACACATCGTCTTATTATAACAAACATTGGTGCCAAGTTATCTCAAATTCCTTTGATAAATGACAAAGTTATGGACCGGACACGAAATATACCCTGTAACAGACTATGTTAATATTTGACCTCCAAGTGTGACCTTGACGTTGAAGGTAGAAACTGGTTTTTGCGCATGACACATCGTCTGATTATTATGAACAATTACGGCAAGTATTTACAAAAACCCTTCATAGATAAGAATGTTATGGACCGGACACGAAATATACCCTGTAACAGACTATGTTAATATTTGACCTCCAAGTGTGACCTTGACCTTGAAGGTAGGTGACTGCTTTTTCCGCATGACACATCGTCTGATAATTGTGAACAATTATGGCAAGTATTTACAAAATCCCTTCATAGATAAGAAAGTTATGGACCGGACACGAAATATACCCTGTAACAGACTATGTTAATATTTGACCTCCAAGATGACCTTGACCTTGAAGGTAGGCAACTGGTTTTTGCGCATGACACATCATCTGATTATTGTGAACAATTATGGCAAGTATTTACAAAATCCCTTCATAGATAAGAAAGTTATGGACCGGACACGACATATACCCTCAAATAGGCAATTTTGACCTTGAATGAGCAAGTGTGACCTTGACCCTGGAGGTAGGGGTCTGGTTGTTGCGCATGACACATCGTCTTATTATAATAAACATTTGTGCCAAGTTATTTCAAATTCCTTTCATAAATGACAAAGTTATGGACTGGACACGAAAGTGTGACGGACGGACGGACAGACGGACGGACAGACAGACTGACAGACGGACAGACGGACGGAGCCTATTTCTATATCCCCCTTTTTTCTTCGAAAAGGCGGGGGACAAAAATATAACACAGACGGACAGACAAAGTGGCAACTAGAACAATTCTGACACCTTTAGACATATTACACACAACATACGTGAATGTGACTGATCACCTTAAAATTTAAAGAAATGACTATACGACAGTGTGGATGCTTAGGTTATAATATCTAATCCACACCTGCATGACCAATTAAAAAATCACGTATGTCCGGCATTTCACCGAAATTTGATAATTTATAGATTTAATTGTTTATAGAGCAAGGCCAGCATGTACATCTGTGCAGTGTGACCTGCCCCTATACTGTTATTAACTCTTTTTCATCATATAGATATATAAATCCCTAAAAAAAACCTAACATTTGGCAGTCCTCAAAACAGGCCATGTCCATTTCACAATTCAGTGATGTCAATGTTAAATGATAGAAATCTGACCTTTTTGTTGCTATGGCTTCACTGTGTCCATACAAACTGTGTAGATTATAATGTGATGAGATGTATTGTTTGGCTGATGCACACAGTGTCTTCGACTTTAAATGTCTCCCAAGCAAAACTGTGGCATGTAAACAAAAAAATCTTCTAAATAATAACAAAACACTGCACTGGTATTAAAGGTTAGACAAGAAGGCCATTGGCCCCAAAGTGCTCACCTGAAGACATCCTGTTATTTGTGTGAGGGCCAATTTTAAAGATAGGGGTATGATAAGGGAAATATAAATGATATTAAATACCATTATCTAAGCTCTAAGAGATGCACCTTCAGATAAGAGAAGATTTTTTAAAGTTTTTACTATATACGTATCAGGAAAACCTATGACCCTGGGACGGGGCCAATTTTGACCCCAGGGCTTTTATTAGAAGAAACATGGTAGTGTTTCACTACACAATGCTTCATTCCAAATATCTAACATCTAGCCTTTGTCAATTTACAGGTGAAGATTTTTAAAGTTTATACTACAATTCAGAGCAACAGATAAGCTGCGTATTTGTGTATTTACAAACTATTTTTTATGTTCGTAAACAAAAATAACTGGCACATTCGGGCGATCATGTAAATAATAATAATAATAAACCAGAGCCACCACCTGGGCAACGCTCGACTTTTTACTTTTTCTAAAAGCAAACAAAGAAATGTTTGAACAAATCTTAACGTTTCCTGTTTATAAATTTAATCCGTCTGTCTTGTCACATTAGTTTTGTCTATATATTTTGTAAATATATACATTTATATATATAAGCATTTATATATATATATATATATATATAAATATATATATACGGAAATCACGCGAGACATACTGGATGCGCTGACTGTATACGCTAGAGCCATCAGGAATCAATAAAGGAGACTAATTTTAAACCTTACTCTAGTTATCAGGCGGTGCCGGGGAGAGCTCTTTTTTCCTGGCCTGAGAGCATCTCTATTACTTTCACCTTATCGTAAATTTTCACTTCATATAATATCACACTATTTGTAACTTGCATTTTCTCACATTATACTTTTTAGTAATAAAAACACATAACGCCCTTATATGTGAAGTTTTATTTATTTTTCTTTTTATTTTTTTTATATATATACAGTAAACTCCGCTTATAACGAACTCATTGGGACATTCAAAATCTGTTCCTTATATCCGGAGTTCCTTGTAAGCATATAGCGAATTAGTTCCTTGTATCAGGAGTTTTTATAGCGAACAGATTTACATATAACGAACTGATTGTTAAACATTTTTAAGAGCATTTGATTAAGAATAATTATTCATTTATTTCTTTTTTAGACACAATACCCGAGAGCGTACATTTTGGAATTTGAAAATTCTTTGCTATTTCAGTTTTAGTTTTACTCCCTTTCTCAATTTTTCATAAAACATCATATTTCGTTTCTTTACTCACTGCACTGTGCTTTTCGTTTTCTTTCAATGAATAAGAATAAACAAGATTTTCCATTTTTCTTCCTTTTATATTGAATATCTTCTATTATATTTTGAGGGTGACTTTAACTAATAACATATATATTTCTTTTCATTTCAATCAAGCATACTGTGTAGTTTTCTACGGATTATGTTTGCAAGCATGCGTGATTATGTTGAAAACCGATAATTATTTTACTCGAGCAAACTATTAAAGAAAAGAAATTATAGAATAAAGGGAATTACCGTTTTATCTTTGTGACAAGAACTCAAGCTAAAATTATCCTAAATAGAAAACTATTACATACTTCTATACAAATTCATTTTCATATATTGAATTACATACAACAATAAACGGTACATTCTGCGAGTTTTATTCCGTGCCAATGAAAACGAAAGTTGAAAATGCGGGATATATTTACGAATGGACGATATTTGGAGTTCGTTATAAAAGTGTAATTTTATGCACTTTTAACTAAATTGGGACTAAAAAATGAGTTCCTTATAAGCGATAATTCCTTATAACCGTGTTCGCTATAACCGTATATTTTTATATTAAATAAAGAAGGGCAAAATTCGGGCCAAAATAAATTGTTCCTTATAACCGGAAGTTCGCTATAACCGTGTTCGCTATAAGTGAAGTTTACTGTATAGATATATTTAACCGAGTTTATGCCATATTGACCGAGGCTATATTTTCTTTTGTAAAGTATAACACAATGACCATTCTATAACGGTCTATTCATAATCAATGTAATTTTATCACCTTTCTAGCGACTGTGTTTCAGTTCAATTTTTGATACTATACAGTACACAATATAGAGATTTTGTGCTCTATTGTGTGCACATTATACATGTAATACACCCCTGATGAAGGCATAATACGCCGAAAGTACTTGGGTATTTATACTTTAGCACTGTATGAACGTTTATTTTCTCCAAATTTATTGTTATTCTTTCAACGTTCTTGTATCCTTCTTGGGATCCAGTGTTTTTGAAAGGTATTTTGTAGATGTAAATAATTTTCACAAACCTATGTATATATATATATGATTGATATTTGGGCTTTATTAAGCCATAAGTATAAAATGAACAAGAATGAGTTAGTTTTTCGAAATATCTGGCAGGGAAAAACCGCCAGCACCAAATAACAACTAGAAATAGAAAGAACATGATAAATCAGTATATGACTAGAAAGAAAAAATAAGCATGAAGTTACAAAACTATATATTTGCAAGACTGTAATGGTAATTTATAATTGTGGTGGGAGGGTGGGAAAAGCAAATGCGAGTTTCTTTGTTCACTGAGGTATGGGAAGTGACGTAGGCTAATTATAAATGCACCGTTTATTTGTCGGTAACGAAACTTCGGTATGACGACATCTATCTGCAGTGCATAAGATATATGCGGATCTACAGAAAACTAAAGTGAATGATATTAAGAATTAAGTTGTCTTGCATATAAATAATTTTATGACACATAAAATACATTTATATTAACTTCAACAACCACCAAAATCTCAATTGAAGCTTGTATGGAGAAATAAGAAACAACCATGTATTGAGATTATATTTGGGCTTTATTAAGCCATAAGTATAACATGAACAAGAATGAGGTAGTTTTTCAGCTAGGTTATCTAAAGAATGCTATTTTATTGATGTTTTTAATCCAAAACTTAATACTATATTATGACGTTACTATTTTTAGATTATGCGTACACATGTGTACACAAAAACGTCGTCGTTACTATGAACGACGTCACATTTGCCCTGATGATCATAAGAGAAACCGGTTGGCAAATAATTAAACAAGTTAACTGACATGGACTGTGTTTTTTGTTTTATATATATATATATACACGCATTTATTTAACAAATAATACATGGCCTTGAGGGCAATATGCAAGTTTATGGACTGATTGGTCAGACTGAGGAAGGTGTATGGCCTGAAGCGCAGCTGAGGGATATAAACCTTCCGAGGTCTGACCAACCAGTCAGTAAACTTGAATTTTGCCCGAAAAGCCATGTTTTATTTGTTATATTATACCGAAGCTAAATCCTTTCATCACTTTTGTTGCTGACATTTTTACTATAATTTACTTTCAAATAATAATTTATTTGTTCAGTGTGTGAAATATTTCAAACCATAGTTGGAATTATTATTATTATTTTCAAGCGATACAACAAAAAAATCATGCTCTTCTTTTGTTATTCAATTTTTGTTAATCTAATTAAACAGGCAAAAAAAACCCGAACTTTAAGATTTAATATGATGTCATCCAGTCCATATAAGAATTATGGACCGCCCCCATTCTGTATGCGGTTTATGGACAGGATGACGTCATATTAAATATAGAAGGGCTTATGCAAATGAGGTATAATATATATACACATTTATAAATATATGAGGGGTTATCCAACAAGAGGGCCATGATGGCCCTGAGATCGCTCACCTGTATATAGCCCCCCCCCCCCACGGCAGGGCCAATTTTAACCCAAGGGCTTTTATTTGAACAAACTTGGTACACACCCATAAGAAGATGTTTCATGCTAAACATCTATGCTCTAGCTCACTGGGTTTTTTAAAAGGAGACTTTTTAAGTTTTTTCTATACACATATAGTTAAAAACAATGACACCCCTGGGGCGGGGCCAGTTTTGACCCCAGGGCTTTTATTTGAACAAACTTTGTAGACACTTACTAGAAGATGTTTCATGCTTAAAATCTTAGCTTTAGCTCTTTGAGTTCTTTAAAAGAAGATTTTTTTAAGTTTTTGCTATACACATAAGGAAAATCAATGACCCCCGGGGCGGGGCCAATTTTGACCCCAGGGCTTTTATTTGAACAAACTTGGTAGACACCCATAAGAAGATGTTTCATGCTAAATATCTTAGATCTAGCTCTATGGTTTTTTAAAAGAAGATTTTTTAAGTTTTTACTATACACATATAGTTAAAAACAATGACACCCATGGGGCGGGGCCAGTTTTGACCCCAGGGCTTTTATTTGAACAAACTTTGTAGACACTTACTAGAAAATGTTTCATGCTCAATATCTAAAATCTAGCTATTTGGGTTTTTTAAAAGAAGATTTTTAAGTTTTTTCTATACACATATAGTTAAAAACAATGACACCCCTGGGGCGGGGCCAGTTTTGACCCCAGGGCTTTTATTTGAACAAACTTTGTAGACACTTACTAGAAGATGTTTCATGCTTAATATCTTAGCTTTAGCTCTTTGAGTTCTTTAAAAGAAGATTTTTTTAAGTTTTTGCTATACACATAAGGAAAATCAATGACCCCCGGGGCGGGGCCAATTTTGACCCCAGGGCTTTTATTTGAACAAACTTGGTAGACACCCATAAGAAGATGTTTCATGCTAAATATCTTAGCTCTAGCTCTATGGTTTTTTAAAAGAAGATTTTTTAAGTTTTTACTATACACATATAGTTAAAAACAATGACACCCCTGGGGCGGGGCCAGTTTTGACCCCAGGGCTTTTATTTGAACAAACTTTGTAGACACTTACTAGAAAATGTTTCATGCTCAATATCTAAAATCTAGCTATTTGGGTTTTTTAAAAGAAGATTTTTAAGTTTTTGCTATACACATAAGGAAAATCACAACCCCCAGGGCGGGGCCAATT